AATAAAACCCTTTAGTATCCCTTGCAGCAGTGGTGGGCATAACATCTTTCACTACTAGTTACTGTACTGTATGACAAACAAGCAAAAGAAGTAAATGGGAGGGGAGGCATGGGTGGTGCAGTAATGAGAGCACTAACCTCCCATCACTACAGCCAGAGAATGGAAAACCAAATGTTTACCAATTTCAGATTCCATTCATTTATTCCATTCATTTTTTATTTTTCTTATTAAAACTAAATTCTYGTATAATATGTTTTCTAGAAATGCAACCAGTACTACAACTCTGGACCATTTACACGTGACGAATAYGGCATTGAAGAACAATGTCGATGGTGTGGTGATGGTGGTGACCTAATCTGCTGTGATGAATGYGAAAAAGTCTACTGCAAACCTTGTATACAGCGAAACTGTGGCAAAACTTACTTGAAAAACCTTCTCAATGCCCCAGAAGACTTCAAATGGCTATGTATTGTCTGCAACAAGGACAAACCGCTGCGTCAYATCCAGAGATTGAAAAAGAAGTGTGAGCTTGTCATGGAAGCATTGGACAACATTAAAGCACGCAAGGCGCACTTTAAAAGCAAGAAGGGCAAGCAGCCTTCTGTAGTYGTTGGACCGACTCCTTTAGAGAGACGAAGCAGACTGACCTATCTTAGCGAAGACATTGGAATWAAGGGAGAAGGGTTTTCTTCCTCAGGAGAAAGTCCTACAAAGAAATGCTTTCCTAAAGACGACTTGCCAGCGGAGCTGTTTAGTAAAACCGAAAGGGAAGAGGAAAACGAAAATAAAATATTGAAGGGGAAGAAGAATGGGAAAGAACWCAAGAAGAATGAGAAAGAGGACAAGATGGATAAAGCTGAGGAAGCTAGTAAGGACGAGAAAGAAGTAAAGGAAAGCGAGATCGAAATTGAAAGCGAGAACGAAAAAGTTAGCGAGAATGAAAAARAGAACGAAAAGGATGAAGAAATGGTTGACCATTTGAGCAGCGAGGAGATTGAAGAACTAAAGGAAACAGCTGATGTGGACGATAATAAACACTATGATGAAACCCCAGCAGATAACACAAGTGTAAGTCAAGAAGAGGTGGTTGAACAGACCAAGAAAAGGCTTTCTTCGCGAAGACTCCAAAGCAGCGATCAAAGTATTAGGTCAGATGATATCGATGAAGAAGATAATAAATCAAATGCATCGTCATCGAGTAAGAAAGGAAAGGTAAATGCTGTGTCTTCTGACCAGGAAACCACAGGAAAAAGAAAAACTCGGAGCCAGAAAGATGTCACTGCAGAGTCTGAAGAAAAAGAAATGTCAGTGGACGAAGTGGTTGTTGACCAAGAGCAAGCTACATCAGAGGAGAAAAAGGAGAAAAATTCCACAATAAAAAAGCAAAAATCAATCGAGATCGAAGAAGAGGATGGGAGTCCAGAGCGAAGAGTTACTCGAAGTAGAAAAGCACCTCCAAACAAGGAACAGAAAAGCGTGCGAAAAGTAGTAAAAGCAGAGCTAAGCGACAAAGATATGAATGATGAAGAAATGAATGATGAGAATAAAGAGAGTATCCAAGATTCTTCTTCAGATGATGACGAAGAAACGAAAAGAAATAAAAAGAAGAGAAAGGAAAAGAAGGGAAACAAAGATGGGATGACMAATAAGGTGAAACAGAAGAGGGAGAAGGAAGAGAGTATCCAAGAGTCTTCTTCAGATGATGACGAAGAAACGAAAAGAAGTAAAAAGAAGAGAAAGGAAAAGAAGGGACAGAAAGATGGGATGACSAATAAGGTGAAACAGAAGAGAGAGAATRAAGAKAGTATCCAAGAGTCTTCTTCTGATGATGATGAAGAAACGAAAAGAAATAAAAAGAAGATAGAGGAAAAGAAGGGAAAGAAAGATGGGATGACGAATAAGGTGAAACAGGAGTTAGGAAGTGAGGAGCTGCATTCATCTGAAGATWTCATGCCTGAGAAAAGACCAGGTCGCAGTAGTAAGAAAAATGTTAACAACGTTTTGCAAACCAAATCTGGTGCTACTGAAAAAGAAACGAAGAAAAATACAGCTAGTAAGAACGAAATCATCTTGATAGATTCAAGCGAMGAAGAAGAARAAGTGGAAAAAGCGAAAGAACGGAAAGGAAAAGGGAAGGAGAAAAAGAAAGTCGATGAAACAAGTGTGAAACAAAAAGAAAGCAAAACTGATAAAATTAAAGCAAGGTCTTTGAGAAGAAGTAATAGAGGAACAGAAAAAAAGAAAGATCAATTGCAAGTAAAGAAGGAGGATAKCAGTAGCGATTCTGAAAGCGAAAAAGAAAATGTTAAGAAAAGAAAAAGAAAGCGGAAGGAATCTAGCGAGGAAGAATCGATTGCCGAAGAACCTAGCGAGGAAAAATCGATTGCCGAAGAACCTAGCGAGGATGAATCGATTGCCGAAGAACCTAGCGAGGATGAATCGATGAAAGAAGAAACAAGTGACGATGACTCTGAAAGTGGAGATGAGAGAATCCCTTTGAAAAAGCGCAAGCAAACCTCTGGAAAGAAACCACAAGTGAGGGAATCTTCTCCGGAGTCTGGTATCGAAAAGAAAAAGAAAYCAAGAAAAACTAACGTAACCAAAAAGAAGAAAAAACGAGATGAAAGCTCCGAGTCGGGATCTGGTTTGTCATCTAAGAAATCAAGCAAAACTAACATAAATGAGAAGAAGAAACGACTAGACGAAAGCTCCGAGTCAGARTCTGGTGTGTTATCCTGGACAGGCAAGAAGAAGACACTGAAGAATGAAGAGGAAGATTACATCTTAGACGAATCTTCAGAATCAGACGCTGAAAAGACGTCTGAGGAAAGTGAAGAGAGTGACTCGGATGAGGACGTCAAGACAAGACGAAGAGGAAGGGGTTTGCAGAAGCAAACGAGGAAGCGTCCACGACCTATAGAGTCCAGTAGCAGCGAGTCAGAAGAACAGCATTCTGAGGATTCTGATGTTGGAATCGCAAGACGTACAAGAAGAGGAAGACAAGAGGAATCTGAATCGTCTGATCTTGGTACCAAGAAACGAAAGAAGACGAACACAAAAGGAAAGAAAAGCGAAAAGGAAAAGAAGAGTAAAAACAGAAGGAAAAAGAGAAGGAAAAATGCACTTGATTCTGATGAAGATGAGGAATCGGAAGAAGAGTTAAGCGAGAACAAGAGTGAAGGCTCGTCGGAGTCAGAAGAAGAAGAAGAAGAAGAAAAGCCAAAATCGAGAAAATCCAAAAGACAAAAGAAAACTCAAAAGAAAAAGAATGCAAAAAAGGCAGCGGCAAAGGGCAAAAGAAGACGAAGAATTAGAAAGAATTCTGATTCGGACTCAAAAGATGATGATGATGATGAAGATGAAGATGAACTCGATGACAAGTCACCACGGAAGGGACGTAAAAAGATTCGCAAGCTTTTAACTGATGAGAAGCTTGGTGAAGAAACRCAGAAGGCTCGACGACTAGAAGAAGAAAGAAGAAAGCGCTTGCTCGAGAGAACGAGAATCTTAGAAGACGAAGAAATGCCCAAAGAGAGCTGGCGCATGAGTTCTCTTGTCCTTGAGAAGGATGACGAGACCAAGGAGCCTCTTGTCCAAGTCCATAAAGATTTGATTCAACATCTCAAACCCCACCAAGC